TAAAATAAAAAATAGCCAGGTGTGGTAGCGCACACCTGTAGATCCAGCTACTTGGAGGGTTGAGGCGGAAGGATTGCCGGAGCCTAGCAGGTTGATGCTGGGGTGGCCATGAGCGTGCATGCCACTGTACTCCAGTCTGGGGGAAGGAGCGAGACGCCAACTCAAAAAAAAAAAAATTTTTCTTATGTCATAAAATTACCATGAGGTAATTTTATATGAAGAACTTAGCGTTAACCTGGAATACAGTAAAAACTTTAAAAAAAAAAAAGCATGCTTATATTACTATCTTAAAGACAGAACGTCTTGTGCTTTCCTCTCCCCAGGCACGAGAGGTAGCCTAGAAGAGCGAGTGTCAGGCTCTGGGCTCACTTGTGCCACACTCAGGAACTTGCCCTATGGACAGCTGGGACTGTGCATCCCTTGTACAATTAAGGAGGATGGACCAGTCTTTCCTAAGTGCAGACCTCATCTGTGGTCACAAATAATAGTAACACTACAAAATGAAAAGGGTCCTTAAATTCTCTTTCAATCATGTGATCATGTGGAGGGGACAGTTTTATGTGTTATCACTGTGTCTTCTTTCCCTGTTTTCAAAGTTTCAATTTATTTTTAATTGACACATACCGTTGTGCATAGTTACGGGGTACCATGACATTTCAGTACACACTTACGTTGTATGATAAATTAGTCAGGGTACCCAGCATATCCACCACCTCAAACTTTCATCACTTCCTGTGGTGAAAACATGCAAAATCCTTGCTTCCAGCTGTTTAACACCTCTCTCACACCTGCCGGTCTCTTGAACAAAGAAAAAGATGACCCCCAGGCTTCGAGCCTTCTGTGGCAGGACACGAATTTAAGCTAGAACTTAATAATGTTGCTTTATTTTTATTGTGCTCATTTCCATAATCATCTTTAAAATATGAAAAGTGATTCTGGTTTTCATATATGGCAGCAAAGTAATTTTTAGATGTATTTGGCCAGGCAGGTGGCTCACACCTGTAATCCCAGCACATTGGAAGGCCGAGGTAGGAGGACTGCTTGAGCCCAGGAATTCGAGACAAGCCTAGGCAACACAGCAAGACTTTGTGTCTACATAAAACTTAAACAACCCAGGCTCGGTGGCTCAGCCTGCCGTCCCAGCACTTTGGGAGGCCGAGGCGAGTGGACTGCCTGAGTCTGCGGGTTCGTGACCCGCCCAGGCAACTTGGTGAGAGCTCGTCTCTATAATAACTAACAAAATTAGCAAGGCACGGTAGCGTGCATCTGTAGTTCTGGCTACTTGGAGGGCTGAGGCAGAAGGATCACCAGAGCCCAGTAGGTTGAGGCTGCGGTGGCCGGGAACGTGTCACCACACTCCAGTCTGGGCGACAGGGTGAGACTCCAACTCAAAAAAAAAAGAAACTTAAAAAAAAAGGCCAGGCTTGGTGACTCAGCCTGTAATCCCAGCACTTTGGGAGGCTGAGGCAACTGGATTGCCTGAGCCCATGGGTTCGAGACCAGTCCGGGCAAGTTGGTAAGACTCGTTTCTACAATAAATCAAAAACTAGCCGGGTGTGGTCGCACACACCTGTGCAGCTACTTGGAAGGCTGAGGCAGAAGGATTGCCAGAGCCCAGCAGGTAAGTGCTGGGGTAGCTGTGAGCCTGCTGCTGCTGTACTCCAGCCTGGATGACAGAGTGAGACTCCAATTCAAAAAAAAAAAAAAAAAAAGAAGCTAGGCTTGGTGGCTCAGCCTGTAATCCCACGCCTTCAGGAGGCTGAGGTGAGTGGACTGCCTGAGCCCGCGGGCTCGAGACCCGCCCGGGCAACTTGGCGGGACCTCATCTCTACAATAAATCAAATATTAGCCGGGCATGGTAGCGCATGCCTATAGTTCCAGCTACTTGGAAGGCTGAGGCGGAAGGATCACCGGAGCCCAGCAAGTCGAGGCTGCAGTGGCCGGGTGCGGCCACTGCACCCCAGTCTGGATGACAGAGTGAGACTCCAACTCAAAAAAAAAAAAAGAGAACATTCAGTAACCAATACTACAGGTGGTAACATTATTAAGGAGGCCCTGGACATTTTGGAGACATTGAGCTGGATTTTTAAAGGCCCTCTCAGTCCTAAAAGCGAATGCTGGCACCCGGCGTACCAGGCTGCAGATGGCACCCAGCCCTCCTGTGAGGCTGCTCTCAACCCTCGCCTCCTCCAACCTGGGGACCCACGGCACTCCCTCTGCCCTGCTCTCGGGCCACACTCTACCACAGACCCGGCATTTGTGACTCAGGGCTCTAGCCATCCCCTATATTTATCTCCCCTCTAGAACAGGAGCTCCAGAGGCCAGATATGTCTCTCCATCTTGTCCCCAAGCCGCCTATTGTGATGTTCCGAAGTACCTATGTTGCAAAAAGGAGCCATGCTCCCTTTCTTGTGGAAAGAGAAGGTAGGCAGTCGAAGAAGAGTTGCCGCCAAGACTCATGGGCGACAAGCCAGCCCGGCTGCGCTTCAGACCTCCGGGGTGGCAGAAGCTCGCTGTCCTGACCTGGGCATCGAGTACCCAGTTAAACGAGAAGCCACTCACCCATTTTAAAGAGGCCTCGCCACACACGGGGCTCAGAAAAGCGCATCTTTCTTCGCGAAACTTACCAGGATCCGAAAACAAGCAGTCCCAGCAGCACAAGACCAATCACAACACAGACCAGAACCGGGCAAGCCTCAGAACGTTCTTCCCATGCCCTGGTCGCATGTGATGCTGGGAACACCAGGCTTGAATGGGGAGGTGATGATCCAAACAGAAGTCTCACTCTTGCCATAAGGGACGGTGACGGTCAAAGTGCTTTATACACAGAAATGAAACACACATGAGGAGGCAGCGTTAAGCTGGGGAAACCAGCAAGAGGGGCCCCATTTCAAACTCAGGGGTTCTCCTTCGGGAAGGGGGGCTTCCTCAACCAGTTCTTCACGTGACTTTGGGCCTTGGGCCTACACCTGCTCAGCAGACGGACTGGGAGAGTCCATAAGCCACGCAGGAAATGGTCTTCTTGCAGCCAGACCCTATCTATCAACATAAGGGCACAGGCTAGCTGCTGAATACTCTCTGCAGGTTCTTATTAAAACCATAAATTGAGCCAGGCTCGGTGGCTCAGCCTGTAATCCCGCACTTTGGGAGGCTGAGGTGAGTGGATTGCCTGAGCCCGCGGGTTCAAGACCTGCCTGGGCAACTTGACGAGACCTCATCTCTACAACAAATCAAAAAAATTAGCCGGGTGTGGTAGCGCGCGCCTGTAGTTCCAGCTACTTGGAAAGCTGAGGCGGAAGGATCGCCGGAGCCCAGCAGGTCGAGGCTGCGGTGGTCGGAGCAGCCACTGCACTCCAGCCTGGGTAACAGTGAGACTCTGACTCAAACATAAAAATAAAAAGATAAAATGATACTCAGTGATCTATCACAGAAACAAAGAACAGAGTGCCACATGTTCTCACTCATAAGCAGACCCTGAACAATGATCATAATCCTATAAGAAAGGGATTGGCAGTAGTGGGAAACTGCCAGGGGAGGGGGGTGCACACGTCATCAACAAGGGTAACCTGCATAATGAACATTTGTATGCCTCACCCTGAACTGTACCCCACATCTTAAAAAAATAAAATAAAAAGATAAAATGGAGAGCATAAGAGAACCTGATAAGATTATAAAGCAGTTAACTCAGTGGGATGGAAGACAGCAAGAATAAAACCAAGGGGCAAAGGATGTCGTCACCTTCCTCACCGTCACCACATCCTTATCTCCAGAATCAGCCTGTCCGCTGAGGCAGGCCGGAGGAGTCTGCCGCCCGCCCCTTCAGCCTGCCCAGCTAGGCAGCCACCTCCAAGAGGCAAAAAAGAGGGTCTAACAGGCAAAAGTACACAAAGTAAAAACCAGAGAAGGGTGTGGCCACGAAAGTACAATCATGCCAGTGAGGAGGAGGGGAGACTACGTTCACACCAGGGAAAAGAAACGCTGCCTCGAAAGGGCAGAAACGGGAAGACACAGTCTTTGTGAGCTACAGACGGTAGCGTGTTGGAATACACGACACGACCGTGTAAAGGCCACAGCATGTGGTCACTGGGAGAGTGGCTCTGAAGCCAGACTGCCTGTGTTCAAATCCTGCTCTGACACCTCCAAGCTGTGACATGAAGCAAGTTACAGGGCCGCTTTGTCTCGGTTTCCTCATCTGTAAAGTGGGGCAAACTTTAGTATCGACTGGTATTATAGGGTTGCTGTGAAAATTAAACCGTTAGGAACATATAAAGTGACTAGATGAACACCTGGCTCGTCATTGGTGCTTAATAAGCATTCACTTTTATCATTATTCTGGCTGCTGCTGTTCAGCGGATTTGCTACTAAGTTAGTTATGCTTAACCTAGTATTAAGACATGTTTGCTTTCCTGAAACACAAATAAGCTGATGACAGAGGGAACCAGAAGCAGGGAGATTTAGACGTAAGCAGGGCAACACATGAAAGCGGGCCAGGACAAAGGCTGTACTTGGGTCACCAAGCACTGAGAAATGCCGACTGGAAGGAAGCAGGTGGACGGATAAGGGACAGAGGGACGGACGTGCGACAAAGCAGTGAAGGAAAATGCCCAGGCTGTGGGCATCCAAGTGTTCACTGTAAAGTTCTTTCAACTTTGCTTTAAAAGTTTTCAAATAAGCTGGGGGATCAAAGGAAGCAGATGTGGAACATCACCCAGGTTTGGGGCCACAGCTGTGTTCCCCGTCCTGCGAGCCCAAGCTCCAGAGCAGGCGTGGACAAGGCTGGGGGCTTTGGAGCCTGTAACCATCACCTGCGCTCTCCCGCACCGATGAGCAGGCAGCAAGTGTGAATGTGAACCACCCCACGACGGCAGGGGCCCAGGCGCCACTGAGAAGTGCCGTGCTTGAAGGACTGTGACAGGCTCACTCCTGCTCAGGAACCTCCGACACAAGAGTCAGGCCAAGGGATGGGGGGATGGGGACACTGGCCAGCGGCACGCACTCACTCGTGGACTCGGCTGTCGCCGTACAGGTCGCTCAGGCCGAAGCTGACGTAGTGCCAGTGCTCGGGGATGTTGGTGGAAGGGCTCCCCACGTTCCGGTACATGCTAACATAGTCCAAGGGGTCGGGGCCGCCCAACCTGCAAAACATGAAACACAGGGGTGTTGGTGTGAGCCGGAAGCCAGACATCAAGCCTAGGCGTCTGCCTGGCGGACCTAAGGGCCTCGCCTGGAGGACCTCAGGTGAAAGGCAGCAAGAGAGAAACCGTGCTGCCGAGGGCCGAGACCAGGGAGGGCTGTGGGTGCCCGCCTCGCCAGGCGTCAGCGTGTCTCTGCTCCGACCCCGGGCAGGGCCTCGCTCAGAGATAAAACAGACGGGGTGGCTGCCCATCTTGCTCTCTCCTGTTTCACCTGGCCCTTCCCAAATGAGAGCGGCAAGGATCCCCCCCCCCCCCCCCCCCCCCCCCCCCCCCCCC